AAACACGACTTAGAAAATATTTTTAACTGAATGATAATGAAGATGCAATATTTCAAAACTTGTATGGGCCGGCCCCGTGGCTTGGTGGTTGGGTGCGCACGCTCCGCTGCTGGCGGCCCGGGTTCGGATCCCGGGCACGCACCGACGCACTGCTTCTCTGGCCATGCTGAGGTTGCGTCCCACATGCAGCAGCTAGAAGGATGTGCAGCTATGACATACAGCTATCTACTGTGGCTTTGGGGGGAAAAATAAATAAATAAAATCTTTAAAAAAAAAAAAAACTTGTAGGATGCAGCTAAAGTGGTAGGGGGAATATATAGTCTTAAATGCATATATCAAAAATGAAGAAAGGCTAAAATTATGTTTTAATCTCAAGAAGCTAAAAAAACAAATTAAAAAATCAAAACTAAGGAAATAAAAGTAATAAATAGAAATCAATAAAATGACAAATATACAAGAGAAAAATTTAAAAATCAAACATTGATTCTTTGAAAGATTAATAAAATTGATAATCCCCTAACAATAATCATCAAGAAAAAAGAAAAATAAAGAGATATGACTATAAAAGAGGATATCATGAACAACTCTATGCCAACTAGATTGACAATTTAGATAAAACGCACCAATTCCTTGAAAAACACAACTTAAAATTGAAACTAATAGAAAATGTGTCTAGTCCTATACACATTAAACAGATAAAATTTGTTATTAAAATCTTCCCACGAAGAACACTCTAGGCCCAGATGACTTCAGAATGTTATTCAAAATATTTAAGGGAGAAATAGCACAAATCTTATACAAGTTCTTCCAGAGAATAAAGAGGGAATACTGCCCAACTCTTTCCATGAGGCCAGCATAATGTGAGGTATCGAATTTGACAAAGATATTCGAGAAAGGAAATTATGGACCAACTTCCCTCAGGAACATACATGCAAAAATCCTCAACAAAATATTATCAAATAGAATCCAGTGATTTTTAAAGAGGATAATATACCTCAACGTGGGTTTTAGTCCAGGAATGTAAGGACAATTTAACATCCGAACATCAGTTAATGTAATTCATACCACATTAATAGAGAAAAAGGATAAAAATCACAATAAAAATCTTGATAGATGTAGGAAAAACATTCAACACAATTCAACATGTAACTCAGTTGATAAAAATGCTAAATAAACTAGGAATAGAAGGGAACTTAGTAATACAAAGCAAACACCATACTTAATATTGAAATAATGAAAGCTTTCCCTCAGAAATCAAGAAAAGATGCTTGCTATCACTATTTTTATTCAACATGATACTGGAGGTCATAGCTAATGCAACACGGAAAAAGAAATAAGAGGGACGTAGATTGGAAATAAGGAAATTATCACTTTGCAGGTAACATAAATGCAGAAAACTTTAAAACTCTACAAACTTTTAAAAAGTGAATTTAGCAAGGTTGTAGGATACAAGGCGAATATTACAAATTGTTTTTCTATACAGTAAGAACACACAAATAGAAAATGAGATAAAAAATAACTATTATAACAGGTTTAAAAAGTTAGATATCTAGGAATAAATCCAATGAAAAATGTGCAAGATCTCTACACAGAAAACTACAAAACAATCAGAAATTAAAGACAATCTAAGTACATTGAATGATATACATATTCAGGGAATAGAAGACTCAATAACATGTGGTGGTGAGCCCAAATTCTTTCTCATGGCAAGGTGGGGGTCTATGTCCCCTTCCCTTGAATTTGAGAGGGCTTGTGACTGTTTCAACCAATAAACTACAGCAGAAGTGACACTATGTGATTTCAAAGGCTAAATCATAAAAGGTCATAAAGGTTTCTCCTCATTCTCTTGGAACACTTGCTCTCCAGATGCTCACTTTTGGAACTAAGCCGCCATGTTGTGAGAAGGACAAGCCACATAGAAAGGCTTTTATAGTAAGTGCTCTAGGAGACAATACATGTACAGGTGCCAACATCTGAGGGAAGCCTCCGAATGATTTCAGCCCACAGCCATTTGAGTCACCCTCTGCTGAGGCTCTAAGCGTCATGGAATAGACAAGCCATCCCTACTGTGCCCCATCCCAATTCCTGACCCAACAGAATCCACGAGCATAATAAAGTGGTTATTTTACAGCACTTAGTTTAGAGTGATTTGTCATTCAGCAATAGATAACCAGAACAAAAGTTGGCAACTTTACCAAAATTGCTCTATAGGTTCAATACAATCCCAATTAAAGTCGCAGCTAGAAAAATGGAAAAGCTGATCCTAGAAGGCATTTGGTATCACAAAGGACATGAATAGTCAAAACAATACTGTAAGAGAAGAACAAAGACTTCTCCATTTCAAAAATTACTACAAAGCTACAGTAAACAATATAGTGTGGTACTGGCATAAGACATACAGATCAATAGAATAGAGTTACCTCTACGGTCAGTTGATTTTCAACAAGGGTACCAAGATCATTCAAGGGGAAAAACACAGTCTTTTCAACAAGATTCAAAGATCTGGTGCAGGCCAGATCTTTAGAAGGGCTTGCTTACTAGGTTGGCCCTTGGCTGGCATCTAGGAATTTGGCTTGTGAAACTTTCCATTTATGATAAAGTTCTGTCTGCTATGCCGGCCTGATCAGACTTTTTAAATAAACAATGTGATTTATGGTGACACCTGCTTTTCTTCTGGGAGACTAGAATTTTGGTGGGCAAAGGGTACCTACACGATTTAGCCCCTAATAAAAACCCTGGATTTTTGAGTTTCAAACAAGGTTCTGTGGGCAGAAGCAGTGTGCCTGTGCTACTGCATTTCACTGTTGGCGAGTGCACTCCATGTGGCCCCTTCAGGGAGAGCATACGAAGCCTGCACGTAGATTCCTCCAGATGCTGCCTGATCTGTCTTTTCCCCTTTCTGATCCAGCTGCATATCTTTGCTGTGTCACTATAATAAATCTTAGCTGCGAGCAGGACCATATGCTTAGGCTTGTGAACTCTTCTATTGACACACGGAATGCTGGGTGGTCATGGCACTGCTAAAATGAGTGTATCAGAAGTGCTAATAGAAGTGGTGTCACAACTACTCCCCACAATATGTATATTAAGATTTTACAATAAAGTATCTCATACACAACTCATAGTCATCTTTTCCACTAAAGAGATCTTAGCACAATCAAGTAAATTATATGCGGAAAGCAGAGCTCAGACCTTAGACATGTGCCAGTGTAATAAAAGCAACTTCCTTCTGAGGTAAAAAACGCATATCCCTCCCTCTACAAGAGTAGAACCTGAGAGAGTGTTAAAATAAGTTTTTAAAGAAATGTATCTTATTATACAAAAATGCTCCCCAACGCTAATACTTTTAGGTAAATATTCCCTCTTCCTATTAGTTGTTTATTTATAATTTAAAACCACATTCTTATATATAACAGGATAATGGGAGCAGAAATTTAAATGTAATATAATACAAATAGGTGATATAACACTATTAGGTTGTCATCAAGATACCATTGCATTGCAACTTATTTCTACAACCCAAAACATCAGCTGCCCACAAATTTTCACTTATCACCACTACTGAAAAAACTGGTGAAAGCATACCAATCAGTTTAGAGTTTGCAGACATCACTCAGTACAAAAAAAAAGAGTAGAAATGACTAGTTTTCTTTATGTAGCAATTTTTACAAGTGAACTTAGATGAATCCCCAGCTGCTGCCTTATTTGTACAATACAACTGGTAGAACAGTAAAAGGGAAGCAATATAAAAAATGAGAACTTTCACAAATAACTTGCATTATATTTTAGAGCTATTAAATTGCAATTAAACCTCTGGTTTAAGGAAAAGATTTTCCAAAGTCCTAGTTTACAGTTGATAGAGAACGGAACTTTTTATTATTATATTAATAATCACTTAAAAGATTTAAACAGACTGAAAAGATAAGCAGTAATCTGGTGTATCTTAGACCAAATTCCACAATCTGAATACACTGAAGCTCTATTTATATGGCCGTGGCTAAAGCATTAATCACATTTTCCACGGCTAGTTCTAATAGGAATGAGTAACAGGACTGATGATTCTACTGCAGAACTCAAATTTTAAAACATCATTGACTGGGCTGGACTTTGAGTCCAGTTCAAATTGACTGCCAATAGACAGACATAAATAGCTTCACAAGCAAGAATCTCCTTTTATCTAAGAGGAAAATTAATTTATCTAATCTTTCCATCTTAAAAATACAGAACTGTGAGAGAACAGGATCCTGCGACACATCAGTGACTGAGTATGTAGAAAAAGAAACAGATCATTGTGATAAAATAAGAGAAGTGAAAAACTACATGTGCTATAGTTTTTATCAAGGTCAAAAAAAAGTTACTCTTTGGAATATTAACTCGTAGGGTTGCCCTTACGCTCTACGCTCTGTGTTTGTGTGTGTTTCTCTCCTAATACTTTTGATCCTTTAAAATTGATAAGTAGTTGATTTACAAAGTAAATTTTTAATTTTCCCTGAGTTCATGGGCAGGGGGAATAACTTAAAGCAAAAATGAATAATCACATACGATTTACATAGGCACGTGTAAAGCCTGCACTTCAGGAATCATATGCTTTTGAGATAGTTGGGGGATGAGGGCATGCTACTGATTTATTGTATGTGGAAGTTACAAGTGCCCAGAATCCAATGTGAATATGGTTTCCAACTATGTCTTGAAGCATCCAGGATTTCAAGACATAGGATCTAAATCTCCAAAAGACTGCCCATTCCCCTCACTCCAGGGAGGTCCTTAAATTAATGATTAATCTATGGAGGAAGACCTCTGGCTTCAGATTTACAGTTATAAAAGGTAACCGATGTACTCTTGGTTAGAATTAAGCAAAAACAACATAGGCCAAATGGTGATCTAACTGATCATTATGCCACTGTTGAACTCTTAAGATTTTTAGTTAATTATAAGAACTTGTGCTCACTCCTCAGGAGTCTGGTTGAACAATTCAGATGTAAGCAAAGGCAAACAAGAAGTAGGCAAGTTTCAAAAACTTTAATAAACAAAAAAAAAGACACTTCCAAAAATAAATGCCACACAAATGAAAGTTTAAAAAAAAGTGAAAGATATTCAAGAAACAAAACCCTTTAGTATCAAAATATAGTAAATACTTTAATGATGGTGAGTGTTCAAATTCTGGGTGAATGTAGCTCATAATAATATAGCTAGTAAAGTAGTGTTCTCATGATATGGCTGTTTCAGGACGTCACTTAAGATAGTTACTTTTTAAAACTACATTTTCTTAAACACCCATTTCACAATTCATTTAATTATTTTACATTCATTTATAAAAACACATTTCTAACAGTGGGTTGTTTTGTGCTTTAATAATAATGAACCATGGTAAAATACTTAAGTGATTTAAATGCTTTGCTAATGACTACACCCATCACAAATTTTTGCACCCTTATACAGCTACTGCAATAATCAGAAGAGCTACAACTCTTCTTAAAAATGACACTCACTCATTTGGTAAGCATGCTATTATTAGAGATGTATTTTTTTCCAAGTTAAAACATTAAAACCTCCTAGCTTTCTTTAAAATCTGCTAAGATAACCTGCTTATTTAAATCACTTTTAAATGGCAATTTAAAATCATACAAAAGGATCATTTTAGAATTTTCTTTATAACTTCTATAGTAAAAAATGGATGTCTTCTTCTAAACTGTGATGGCACTAAAATTCTATTTTAGAAATTCTAGATTTTAAAATGTTAAGAAATACAATGTCAGTTACATCTAGAGGGGCATTTTAATGAATTAACCTAATTATTCTTCAGATCTATAAAGACTTCTTCCTCGTGGGTGACACTGCCTTATACTCATCTCAGTACTTTAGTAAATAATTTATTTTAGATGTGATCTAAGACAAACCCCAATTTATTCTAAATTCTTTTCTGTAACAAGGGACCAATACTTATCATCCTTTAGATTGACAATTTAGTAAACAGATACAAATCTAAAGCAATAAAACTTATATAATTAATGGTGATTAATGCCAAATACAACAGACCTCACTCTCACAATTTGGAATTAATTTTCATGCAAAATTTTACGTAGAGTTTTGATCCTTACTTATAGGTAAAGCAAATTTTTATCTTTTTAAGTAATCAAGACAAATAGTAGAAAAAGCATTTTTATTTATATGGAAAAAGCTACATTAAGATCTGTAAAAGGTGTCAATATAATAGTGCCTATACAGAAAAAAATTCAAATGTGAATAGCAACAAATAAAAGTTACACATCTTCCTACTTAGCAGTGCAATTAATTCACATTGCAATAAAGTTAAGTCAAGTATAACAAAATCAAAACAAGTGTTTCTTCATAATCAGTATACTGAGAATTACAGTGTAAAGATCATTTCAGGTTTAAGAAATCTGCAATCGATCTACAGAATACCCTAAAACAAGGAGGACAGACAGTTAATTCATTTAATTATCAGGTGTTGGGGTTTTTTCAATACTGTTCACAGGAAAAAGTAATGAGTTGACATACATGTAAATAGAATATATTTAGTCTATACAGTAAAAAAATACAAATTATAAAGTGAGCTAACACAGAATGAAATCTGAATACAGATTTATAAAACCGACGACATCTTAGACAACACATACAGTATTTCTCATGTAAAAACATCTAGTTTCAGCAAAAAATAATTTGGTTGCTTTTCAGATGCATTGTAGATCTTGTAAGCTGAAGATGCAGATGTCCAAGTATCTTAAAAACCATAATAAATGTCTTTTCTCAATGCATACAAAATGATAAATGCTCTCATCACAGTCTTAAGGATATTTTTGGAAGTTTGTTTTGTCTTGCTTCAGAAATACATTTAAAATGGGTAAAAATCAAAGGATTTCATGGTACAATGAAACAGTAAACAGTGCTCAATTTACTGCTAATGTTGGAAAAAAACCTAGATTTTACAGTACTCTGGTATATACGAAATTTTTTTTGATTTTACATTGCATATTTCTGAGTCCATTCTCTTGCGTGTCTGTTGTATCTGTAGGCATAAAAAGGGATATAGTAAAAACATACAAATTGAATCTTTTAGAAGAGCTATCTATATAAAACTCTATACTCTACCTTCTTATGCTTAATTGCAATAATCATACATATACCAATTATTGGGTCAATTTGACAGGGTCATGCATAAATAAAACAGAAAATGTAAGTGATTTTTTAACTGATGGATTTCTCTACAACCTATATGAAAACATACCTAAATTATAAACAACAAAGAAGAAACCAATTTCTAATAGAAAATTATAAAAGCCAACCCTGAACGGGCATTATCTGTAAACTGCAAATGAATCGATGGTGCCAGCTAGAAGAAGGAGATTGAAAATTAGGTCAGTTTTGGGGGGTGTTAGGGATAACTTCTCTTCCTGGGAGAAGATAAGGAATACAATATTCAATACTTTCCAATTACCAAATTCTTTCATTTTAAATTTACTACCTAGAATTATATATAGTTCTTTCCCATCAAAAAACATGACATACTGTGCAAATGCAGAACATATACTATTAAATAGTAAAGGATTAAACAATATGTGGGAAGGAACAAGATTTTTTGTAAAAAGACTAATAGAGTCTAGTAAGAAAGGTTTACTCCACTGGCAAGATAAACTTAATATAAGTATAATAAGAATAACTAAATAAATATACTAAAATATATTGATATACTTATGTTTTAGCAGACTGTATAGAAATGCACCCAAACAGAAACTAATATAAGTAAACACTTACTTTTCTTTGTCTGATTTATAGATTTGTGCAATATCTGGTACTAAGGGGTCATCTGGATTAGGATCACAAAGTAGAGAACATATGGACAATAAAACTAGATTTAAAAGAGAACATCATATTAGATAATGATCTTTCTACTTTATACAATTACATATGCGAAAATGATTTTACAGAATACAATGAACTTATAAAGAAAACAAAATAAAATGAACACATTAAATTACATGTGATACTAACTTTGGTTGATAGCAAATATTTTTAATTTTTAAAATTACAAAATTACCATACAATGTATATAATACAAAATTATTATAACTTTTGAAGTTTTAAATTCTATTTGAATTTTTATTTCTTTAAAAAATGTGAACCTCCAAAGTAGCTATTAACAACCTTTAAACTCAAGAGTTCTCTAGAAAAACATCTTTAGGTAACATATACATACCCCAAATGGTACATAACCAAAAAATTTTTAGAATAGCATCCTAACTTTAGATTTCTCTTAGAGATAATTTTCTACTTTAAGAGAAAACTGTCCATTTTTAATTCTATTTTAATGCACAAAATCTGTGCTTGAATCAATTCAAGGTAAAGAAATCAAATTACACTTAACAGTCCAAACCATTTTGGATATCATGTTCACCCACTTTTTTACTTTAGCTTAGTGCTACAGATTGTCTACAAAGAAGGACGATTTCTAAGATTTTTTTCAATGACTCTTTTATTCCAATTACATTATTTGTATTGCATGCATTTTAAAATAATGTGAACAGCTATCATTACAAAATCTGTATATTTTAAAATATAAATGAAAATTGAAAAAGTAGTTGTTTCTTGCCACATTACATCAAAATACTAATGCAAATAGTTATGCTTAAAAAAAAAAATCGAAGTATCTGAAAAAGAAGGAACAAGGACTCTGGTTCCTTATGTCTGCTTCAATTGCATGCCACTTCTGCAGGGGTACGTGGAATCTTTGGAATAACCTTCCAACTCCGCCCTCCTCTACTATGTTCCTTTATCTTTTCCTACTCTTACAAATCCAAAGGTGAACTTATAAAGCAGAGTTGATTCTTAAATGACACGGACAGGGGGAGCTAAGGGCTAATGAAGAAACTAATATATTATTCATCTTCTTCATCTTCCATCTGCCCAGTGAAATTTCAAGCCCTGTATGTTAAACCAACAGGGTAGACTATCTGAGCTCACATCTCCAGAAGGTTTCCAGACTAAACTCATGATAAAAAGCAAAATAAGATATTTAAAGTACAGAAAAATGTACAAACAAATGAGCAAAGTATAAGCTATCTTATAAAATAAGCAAGAGGGAAGTTCCTCATCTCCCCACTCCTGCTGTCAAGAGCCATGGGCCCTGATCCCACTATTACCTACACAATCAAATATTTTACAATACGGAAAAAGGTAATAGTTAACATTCATTTGAGTGCTTACCACATGCCAGGTGCACAGTGATCCTATGTGGTTATACTGTTGTAATCCTCATTTTACATATGAGGAAACTGAGGCTGTCTGAAACTGCTCTTAAAGGACAGTTTCCAGAAGCCAGTGATACTAATTATTCTTTACTAATCATTCTTTACAAACAGTTACCAATGTCAGAAATGAGTGCTCAACACCTGGCAGTCTGCCATTTCTTTTATAGCACATGTAAGTACTTAACTGCTTATGCCAAATGAATTTCATTTTGTGATACTATTCCAGGAAAGGTGTATTAATTTGTATAACCCTTTGACAGAGAATCTTTCCTGTATCTAGTGCACAAGTTATACTATGTGAAAGATTTTTAAAAAGACACTAGAATCTACAGGAACATTTTATACGAACATCTTAGGTCAGAAAAACTGCCATTCATAAATAACTCACTGACCTAAAGGGCTATACTTATCTAATACTTGAAATAATTATTGCTGTGGACTCTGCTTCCCATAAACCTTATCGCTCTTAAAAACAAGTTATATATTCAGGTAGCATTTTTTTTTTTTAATGACCATGGATTCCTCCCCTGAATCCTTAAAGAGAAACATATTTCTTAAATTTTATAAAACGAGAAAACTACCAAGTTACTTCAGGGGCAGATGCTTCTAACTCAAAATAATATTTTCCAACTGTCAATTCTCTTCTGTCAGAGAAAAAAGACATGAATTCAGAGGGCTGGCACAGCAAATAGTATTGGCTAATGAAACAAAAATGGCTTCAGATGGCCTGTGTACACATCTGATAACTTAGCAAAGAACAATGCTATACATCTGTGAAAGCTGAGAATCCACATGGATTATGTATCCGCCATTACAACAATGCTATTATTACTCAAAGTTTAGACTAACATGCTATATGTACTGTGTTATTCTAAAGTGTGAAATACGTCTTTCATTTTAAGTCACTTATTTTATCAGCCTAATCTGATATTTCTTCTTAGCTGAAGTAAAAGAGATGTAAAACTTTACTCATTATGTCAATAATTCCATTTAATGAATAGGACAACTGGTCCTAAAATTTTATTTTTACTTCTGTTTCTTTCTCTCTCTCTCTTTTTAAAGGCAAAGCCCAAACTAAAGGGATAAAACGTCAACAGGCTTATCCCCAAATTTCTAGCTCTAACATTTTAAATTTCTCTCATCTAATCAGTTAGATTTGCCCATCAATCCCCCCAAGCTAACTGCTAAAAGCAAAAAAGTAATATAAGAGCTACGAAAGCAAAGCAAAATCAAAGCAGGAGAAAACACAGTAGATTTTTTTTTTTAAACTTTGGTGCCTAGATATTTCTGCTGTATTTTTCCTGTCTCACTGCTACCAACTGTTATAAACCTGATAAATGAAATTACCTTTTGATACAGTCAGAGCTGGTGACCACTGTGACCTCAGGATATCAAGACAAATACTTCCATTACTGTTTATGTTTGGATGGTAAATTTTTGTTGTGAAAGCAATCTAAACACAAAACAAAACAAAAACGGGACAATCCATGAACTATGAACAAAATAGAACCAACCTGCTTTGGAGTAAAATGCCCTCAATTTTACGTGACCTTAGAGTAGAAATATATTCAACAGAAAATGAATGAGCATCTACTTTGTGCACATGTAGTTTTAGCTACTGGGAATGTGAAAGCAAATAAAGTCTGTTTCCTGCACTCTCCCCCAAGGAATTGAGAAGTATTTTGGAGAGTGCAATAAATAAGTCTGTAATAGCTGGTATGACTGGTTGAGTAGCATCTGAAGTAATTAACCATGGCTTTCATCATCCCTCAAGGTAATCCTTTTTTTAATTTGATTATCAGTGATACCTGGAAGTGACACTTGGATCTAAAAATAGAATGCTGACCCTGTTCCAGAGGAAAGTTGAGGGGCCTCGGCTTGTTACTTGTCCTACGAAATCCACCAAGAATCCTAATCTTCCACAAGAGCTGTTGTTACATTGTTTCATATATATAATCAGGTGTTTTTAAAAATCGAAAATAATTATTTCCTGATTGACAGAATTTGTTAACGATTTTCTCCCTCATTGATATTACCATCATTTGTTGGTTTCCTCTTGAGAGCTAATCTAAATTTAATTTAATAAGAACGTGTTTTTATCTTTCCTACCACACTATATAAAGGGACTGTGTCATATTTATGCTTGTATTCCTCAGTGTAACAGAACATGGTAGGTGCTCAACAAATGTTTGCTGAATACTTAAAAACTGAGAAAGAAGGGTCAACTTTGGAAAGATAATCCCCTGAATGGAAAAGTCTGATTCCTGACCATAAAAAACTTCCCAAACTACACATATCTAATGAGGGAAGAAAGGTAAGGAAACTAAATTATTATAACAGATACTGCCTTTAGTTTTACAGACATAAAAAATAATTGAGTAAGAAAGCATGTTATAGATTCAGTGGTTTTACAGAACAGTTTGAACATGCTAACATACCCACGGTCTTTGACATCATGAAAATATCTCTGGATAGAGAGTAAAATCCCTGACAGAGGAGTCACATCAATCAGAAAAATAAAAATACCTTTGGTGGTTTAAAAGGATAGTCTGTCGGAAAATGTACGGTGAGAAAGAAGACTCCACCTTGATATGCGCTATCAGGCTGAAATGACAAAATATTTGCATCAGTGTTTGATTACTGTATTTATTTAGTAACCTACAATGATTTCCCCCCAAATATATCAGTTCGAAAAAATGCCATCATTTTGTCATAAGCCCAAATCATTTACCTTGAAAACAGGTTTCCCTTTGCAGGTATGAAAGAGGATTTTCCAACAATCATGTTGACATCACAAAATTTAAAATAAAACAAAAATAGGACATACACAATGGTGTGACTTGCCCAAACAAATCTGTTTATGAGTACAGATTTTTTAAAATCCAGTATACACACACATAACGCTGTGAGAAAAGAATAATTTTCTGCAGCAGTTAATTAGTATGGAAAAAAGGGTTGGGGCTGGTATTAGCTTCTTATCTATAAAACTTAAGTTCTGATGGTCCTTTAAGAGGCAAGAATGGAGATGAACTGAAAAGACCAAGCTATGAAATCGAAAGGCTAAGGTACACTGTTACACAATTTAGACCTCAAATCTTCACTTAGTAACAGTTTATAAAATAATGTGGAAAATGCAAAAAGGCCTAAAACAAAACTAGATAAATTCAATATTCACAGAATTAGCAAATTAGGAATCAACTTTACAAGAGGAATTTAAAATTGGCCATGTTTCTTTATGGCAATTAGAAAATATTTATAATGTTACAAGCAAAAAAAAGCTATAAAAAAAGAAAGAAGTAGCAAAAATACCTTAAATTCTATTTTAATTCCTTTATATGTAACTAAATTTATCATGTTATATTAACATTTTGGTAATAATAGCAAGACTACCATTACTTCCTCCTTAAGTTTCTGCATATACATTAGAGGATGGTACTGTATAATTCTTCTTACTAGACATATTGTTTAATGCTAGTTCATCAAAAATTATAAGGAATGTAGAAAATGTAAGTAAATTACAATCAACAGATATGGTCTGCTTAGATATTCAAATGATACTATAAGTGGCATGTTTACATTACTAAAATAAAGGGGGTATGAGTAACATAATTATCATTTGCTACATGTGATTCACCTAAGAAATATTTCTGAAGGGCTATAATTCAAATGGTAAGGGTGAGTCTTTAAATGACAGTATTTTGAAGGGTCTTAGTAAGCAATGAAAAACAAACAAATAACTAGATTCTTATTGAAAGCTGATAACTACATTCTTATTGAAAGCTGTTTATGTAAATAAATACATTGCATTTTATACCCTTTAAAAAACTAACAGTATAACAATTTAGTAATTTGAGACACTTGCCCAGGACTCCTGCCCTGAAAATTCAATAACTGTTGTTTTTTTCAAGTTAAACACAAGGCAATATGATTAAAAACTCTATGGCTTACTAGATAAAGCTCTTTCAGAGAAGGGAGGAGAGAATGATGTTCAGTATATGCTCTCATCCAGAAAGTAGATTTGAGCTGTCAGTGCTCATTCTTATGCAATGAGATTTTTGCTCATAGAAAGAAAAGCCTGTTTCAAGCCATAACTGCTTCTTAGGTATAGAAAGAAATAATCTTAACAAAGGTAATAAGTGTTAAGAGAAGCCAGTCATAAAACAGCAGGTAATTTTGAGTTCAGGACAATGGAACAAAACTAAAAGCAGCAAATTCATGAGGTGGCAAAGACAGACCCATGCAGTATTTTATCAGTTCTCTCTCTCACACAGGAACAGCGATGAAACATTGCAAATTGGTGCTCGTTAGCTGTAGAAATTCCATTATTGGGTTAATTAGACTTATTTTTAACCTACTGAAACTGTTGATGTGAGAATAACTATGCTTAGTTCGGAACAACTGACGTTGTGTTTAAAAATTTAAAGAAACACACAGCCTGGTTGCAAATTGTGGGTGATCCATTACTAAGTGTAATGATCTAGGATTTGGCAAAGGAAAACATCACAGTGATCCTAGCAAGTATTTGCCACCAGTGCTCTAGAAAATCATCATAAATCCTTTAATCATATTTTGCTTACTGAGTGATTCAGAGTATGAGAAAATTCAATCTTAGCCACAAACATCTGATCAAAGGTGAATGGCAAGAATGAAGTATGGCTGAGGGGATTAATTTCATATATATGAATCATACTTACAGGCCCCATAATAGTTGCTTGCCAGTGGAACACTGAAACAAACAAAGGAGTTTTGGAGTCATTAACAAACGTTCAAACCTATATCATTAACGGTAGCAAAATCCTAGCAATAGAGCAAAGCTTACAGTCATCTCCCACAGGTCCAGCTGAACAGTGAGCAGGTGGGTCACGCTGTAGATCACTTAATTCCTGAAGCAAAGCAAGAATACAAAAGGTTAATTCTTTTATAATAATCTATGCAGACACAAACTATTTACTTCACTTTAAAATCATTTTAGACAGTTCTATTCAAAATACGAAAACATAAAATGTATTGTGTCACTGATTGGTAGAAGAATGTGGAATTAGGTCACAGAGAGATGGATATTTAAGGAACAACCTGAAGGTTAAATGGAAAGAAAGGAGTGCAGTCAGGCCATATTTTGAAGCCTAGCACATTGATTCATATGCTTTTTTCTGCTCTTAAGGAAGCAAAGGAAGGATCACGGAAATGACGCAGCTTTAGAGTTGGTTAGTCCTGGGTTAGCATCCCAATTCTACCATATCCAGCTCTATGACCTTGGGGAAATTACTTACCTTTCTTGCCTTCAGTTGGGAAGGAACCTCAAATATGAAAAGTATAAACTCAATATAAAGGACTATATATTAGGGCTGAAGAATCTAATTTAGTTTGGAAGATCAGGGAATGTCTCTGAGGAAGTGACATTTAAGCTGAAATCTAAAGGATGAGTGGAAGTTAGCTTGGGGAGAAATGAGTGACACTGTGAGGTAGAGTGGCATAAGACGAGGTTGGCATAAACAGGCAGAGGCCAGGCAGAAAACTGAGAACAATACACACCCTATTAAGGATTTGGGGTTTTATACCAAGTGCATTGGAAGGAGTTCTAAGAAGCGGCATGATCTGATTTAAAAGATGGTTCTGACTGGTCTATGTATTGATTGGATTAGAGATGAGAAAGAGAAGCTACAAGATTAGTTACCACAGGCAAGAAAAACAGTTGCCACTTCTCCTGACCTGGAGAAGTGGCAACGAGATAAAAGTGGACAGATCTGAGATTTTTTGAAGGGCCGACTTACCAGAGGATTTGATGATGAATTAAACGCACAGAGTAAGGAGAGAGGTCACGGATATGTACGACGAAGATTAGTGGCAGCTAACCCTTACTCGATGTTTTATGGTCCTGACAATCCTCAGAGGTAGGTGTTATCACGCTCCCCATATTACAGATGAAGAATAAAGGTGACACACTTCACTGTGTGCTCACATAACTAGTATAGGGTGGAACTGGGATTCAAACCCTGGCAGTTGAACTTCTAGCTTTTTAGCTCCACAGATGTACAAACATAGATGCCATTCACTGAAATGGCGGAACACAAGAAGACAAGTTGATTTGGAAAGTAGACACATTGAATCTGTGATCCCTGTGATATCAAAGAAAAATTTAGTTCAACATACAGGATTGGAGCTTAAAAGAGGACTAGACTAGAAATTGGAAAATCATTGTATATACCTGGTTTAAAACCATGGGAATGATGTTAACATTTTCAGGGAAACACATGTAAACAAATACTGCATTTCATTAAACCTAAGATGCCATCAATGGTAAATCATATCCTTATTTTATGTGCCAATAATTAAGGAGATGCTGCCAATTAATTTTAAGACATCATCAATTATAAGATGCATCCAGATTTTAGAAAGGCTGAAATGAAAAAGATGTGCACCTTCAAGCCATTGTAATACGGTACTTACAGCAATGAGGTCAGTGTTCTGATAGAGACGAACAAGGAAGAGGACGTGGTAGAGAAAGGCTTTCCTAAGAAAATGATATATGAGCTAAGTAACTGAGCAAAGTGCAAACTCAGGTCTCCTTCTTCCAGTCTTTTCCAGTATACCTTGGTACTTTCATTTTTGTTTTTGTTGTTTTTTTCACAGGTGGTGCTGTGCTTCTCCTCCTGACAAGAATTAACTAACAGAGTTAGCAGCTTCTTTGGTCCAGGTATAGCTAAGCAATAAAGAGGGAGATTTCCGTCTTCGACTTAGTGACAGTGGTTAAAAAGCAAGGCTTGGAAATTCAAGTCCAGGTGCCATCCTTACTTGCCACATGATCATGGGCAAATCATTTTTTTCCTCTCCAAACTTTAGTTTTCTTTAATGTAAAGTGGCATTACCACTTTCATCCATAGCTTCTATGACGAACAAGTGAAAGGATACATGTGAAGTATACAGCAGTCTCTGGTACATTGTAAGCATTCAAATCAATGTTAAGATAATATGGAATTGATAACCATCCAATTCTCTAGTAGTAGAATACAATTATTTAACTAGTTTAAATGACTGAGGGAAGAGCAGTTCCCAAGTCAGCCCCATTTTAGAATGAGTGGGCTTTATTTAACAGTTTTCTAATTTGGGCTTTTAAGAGATTGCTTCTGAAAAAATTCAACATGTTGAGTTTTCTAAACATTAGTGTAAATGGGTAAATGGGACTTCTTTGTCCTTATTTTAACTAGAAAACTAGTTAATTGGAAAATGAGAGTATCTAATTGTGGTTAAAAAGCTGTTAATGATTTGCATGTATATATTTTACATAGAGATAATGTACATGTGAATAAATCATACATATAGATAAATACATAAAAATATATTTTCTTTAAAAACCCAAAACCATATTTTACTTGGAATAGCCTTGAATCACGTTCAAATTTCAAATGTGAGACTGTTCTTCAAATCCTTTTAAAATATTATAGAAAAATAAAGGTTATCTGGTTCTTATATTTTTGTGCCCTGATTCTACCTCCTCTGTTAGGAGAAGTTAGAGCTAAGGACAGGAGAGAGAAAATCTAAGAAGTGAACTCCCGCAAAGGCCAGGTTCTTAAGTTGTCTATTTAAAGCTCACTTATTATAGGAAAGAGGCAGCTGACGGTACAAACATTCTTAATAGTCACGTCAATCATTACTTACTACTAATAATGACACTAATGCTTTGGTGAGGAGACTTACACATCCTAGACTTTTTAGGAGGGTCTAAATTTCTAATGTTCTATCCCTTTGTCAAACATTGTGTCTGGAAACATGCCCTGTTATTTTGTTTGGAAATATGTAACTGAAACTGTGATGCATATGTACAGAGAGAATGACCAACAGAAAACAAAAGGCACAGTATCTACCTTCCCACATCCACAAAAATACAGATCTTTAATTTGAAAAAAGAAAAATGGACAATTCTGAGATGTGCTGAGGAGGTGAAAATATAAAACAAACAAAAACTACAACCAAAACTCCACCCTTTTTGCTCTTAGTCTATTCAGCAGCCAGTATACTTTTAGACACAAGAAATCAACGGCCACTTAATACTCATTAAATTCTCCCTTTTGTTTTTAAATCTTTTTTTATTTGCAGGGAAAGGTTTGCCCTGAGCTAACAACATCTGTTGCAAATCTTCCTCTTTTTTTTTTTCCCTCCCCAAAGCCCCCCAGTACATGGTTGTATACCCTAGTTTAAGTCCTTCTAGTGCTTCCATGTGAGCTGCCACCACAGCATGGCAACTGACAGATGGGACACGTGGTTCCGCAATCAGGAAACAAACCTGGGTCACTAAGGCAGTGAGAGCACCAAACTTGAACCACTAGGCCATCAGAGCTGGCTCAAATTCTCCCTTTTGATTTAGTTTACCCCAGGTTTTTCACAAACTGCCTTATTATCTGATTTACGCTTTCTCTGCTGTAACTGGCATGCTTATTTATCTACTCTTAGCATCGCAGCCACATATGGAGTATTAAAAATAATTTAGTGATTCTTATGTTATTCCAAAAGGAAATGCTAGGATTAGTAATCTCTCTCTTTGCTCCTCTCCCCACTCTCTCTGTAAGAATTAACACTGGAAGAATATACAGGCAGTACCCTATTTGTCATCGGTCAGAAAGGGATCTTTTCGAATTCCATGGCTACTCAGACAAGGGAAACAAAAGAAAAAATAAACAAGTGGACTTGATCAGATTAAAGAGCTTCTACAAGGCAAATGAAATTAGGATCAAAATGAATAGGGAACCCACCAGCTGGGAGAAAATATTTGCAAACCATATGTCCGACAAGGGATTAATCTCCATAATATATAAAGAAGTCACACAATTGAACAACAAAAAAACAAACAACCCAATCAAAAAATGGGCAGAGGAAATGAACAGACACTTCTCCAAAGAAGATATACAGATGGCCAACAGGCACGTGAAAAGATGGTCAACATCACGAATCATCAGGGAAATGCAAATCAAAACCACACTAAGATATCACCTTACACCCGTTAGAATGGCTATAATCACCAAGACAAAAACAACAAGTGCTGGAGAGGCTGTGGAGAAACAGCAACCCTAATCCACTGCTCCTAGGAATGCAAACTGGTGCAGCCTCTATGGAAAACAGTATGGAGATTCCTCAGAAAATTAAAAATAGAAATACCTTATGATCCAGCTATCCCACTACTGGGTATCTACCCAACGAACCTGAAATCAACAATCCAAAGAGGCTTATGCACCCTTATGTTCACTGCAGCATTATTCACCATAGCCAAGACGTGGAAGCAACCCAAGTGTCCCTTGACTGATGAGTAGATAAAGAAGATGTGGTATATATGGAATGGAATATATACAACGTGGTATATAGACAATGGAATACTACTCAGCCGTAAGAAAAGACAAAAGTGTCCCATTTGCAACAACATGGATGGACCTGGAGGGTATTATGTTAAGCAAAATAAGTCAGCAAGAGAAAGACAAACACCACACGATTTCACTCATATGTGGAAGATTAACAAACAGACGGAGAGAACTGTTCTGTGGTTACCAGGGGCAAGGGGGGTCGGGGGTGGGTACAAGGGGTAAAGGCATGCATTTATATGGTGACTGACAGACAATAATGTACAACAAAAATTTCACAATAAAGAAAAAAAAATAGCTAACATTTACTGAGCAGTTAATATATGCCAGTCACTGTTCTAAGTGTCTTGCATTTAGAATTCATTTAATTCTGACAATAATCCTATAATGTAAGTACTGTTATCATCTGCATTTACAGAACATGAAACTGAGGTGCGGGGAGATTAAGTACCTTGCCTAAAGTTATATCGTTTTCTAAGTGGTAGAGCTGGCATTTTAATCCAGACGATCTGACTCCCAAGGCCACATTTTTCACC